AAGTGTCTAATTAAGTGGTATGATAGTTAACAGTGTAGATTAAGGGTACAAATGTAATGAAATGAATGAGAATTTGAATGAGAGGTGAAGTGTTTTGTAGTGTTTTGTATCGTTGAGTGATTTGTGGCATAAATATTAGGAGAACTGCTTCTGAGTTCATGTGAGACAACAATATCTCAAACTCATGAGAGTTGGTGTCAAAGCGAGTGTCACATCAGGTTTTATCAGTTCTCGCAAAACACTACAAAACACTTCACCTCTCATTCAAATTCTCATTCATTTCATTACATTTGTACCCTTAATCTACACTGTTAACTATCATACCACTTAATTAGACACTTATCTCACAATAGAATATTTTATATCAATATATAAATTATTTTTATAATTAACACAATTCTAAATAATATATTAATTTTCAATATTAATATAACTATATAACTTTTTTTATTTTTAATTATTTCTAAAGCCCTAATAAAATAAATTCAATTTTATTTAGTATGTCATAAAAAATGTTTCAAAAGAAAACATATATTAAAGTAAATTCTTGATGTCTTTCATCACTGATATACAGTATCAGTAATATTGGAATATATTTTGATATATTTTCAAAACAATAATATATAATATTAAAGATTTTTACTAGAATCGAAAGCTGGAGATAAGAGAGTGTTATATATAGTACAGTAAACTTTATATCAAATAAAATCAATAAATAACTATAATATTATTGGGCTGAATCAATATTACGTTATATAATGTAAGAGTAGATTTTTTGTCCAAACGGTAAAACTGAAACAAAAATACTGTTAAACAGTAGTTTCATGTCAATTTGTACACAATTGTAAATATGAATACACAGTATTTGCAAATAATGATAATAAAATTTTATTGTTGTCGATAGGAATTGTAGTGTATTTTCGTGAATTCTTATGTTGTACTCAAATAAATGTATCGTTTAATATATTTAAGTTGTGAGACAAGTCTCCAAACATTTCATATCCTAATATTAAATAAAAGAAAAACTAAGCGAAGTTCTTATCGCCGAAAATAATATATATTCTGTATATAAGTGTGAAAGCGATGTATTTGAAGCTTTGAATTAAATATTTTGTAGTCAACAGAATGGGGAGAAATTTAATATAATCTTGTATTCTGTTCTGTATATAAGTTATATATCAAAATAAAATTTTCAAATTGAGTTTTAGTTTATTTATTCTTTGCTGTGAAGTAGAGTTAATAATATAATGAATAGGTCTTGGAGTGACTTTCCCAATACAATCAGTGCTACGGTATTTGAAACTCCAATAAATGACAAAATCTTTCTAAACGACAAATGCTATAATTTTTTGTTCACATTAGACACCAAACAAAAAACAAACTATTAATGTGAACATCACTTCAAATATGTTTCCAATTATATAGAAATCCGTGACTTTTAGTCGTATTTTCTTTTTTTCAAGTGCTGTATAATAATAACACTTAAAACTGAGAAGAAATAGTTGTATATTTGTGTCACTGGTATTACACGGAATGATATACTGGTGTAGACTAACAATGGAAAGTGAATTATTGCTTGCCATTCGTTAGCATTACCTCTATTTTATCATTAATGACATCTATTTTGCCGGGCTTTTATAAATAATATATAACATATATGAGAGAGACAATGAACCAGTCAATCAATGATTTGAATTAATAAATAAGAATATTTGTGGTCAAAAAATGAAGTAATAATACGTGAAAAACAATTGAAATGCATTCATATATAATATGGATATTAATGAATGGAAAAGAAAGGACTGAAAGATAAGAGATGTGTTCAACAAAAGCCGCATTCATTTATTCTGAATCCTTAGAGTTTTTACGATAATTGCATAGAAAGAGAGATTGAATACAATATATGGAAAACAAAATTCATGTCACTTTCACCAGAGGTTTCCTTTTGTGAGAATCAATAAAAATAAAATCGAATAAAACTCGAAATGTTTTGACAAAAACTGGAGTCAAGACTAAAACTGCAGAATTAAATTACTTCTAAAACGAAATTCTCATTCAATTACATTAAACATAAGAAAAGAGTTTTTTAGCAATTTTTCCATGTTATCATAACTTATGTTATAAAAGTCTGCGATTTGAGACTTTAATATATTCATTGTTTGTGAATATATAAATAGTTTTCATTCTTTTCAAATTAAAACCATTGTATAAATTATAATTTTATCAAAATACTTAACAATATTTTACAACTTTCAGATGATTTCATTTAAATATTTGTTGATTAAAGTCTTATTGAAGTTTATAATTATTTAGAAACATTCTATAATATAAATATTAATAAGTTTATCTAAATTATAGCTTTTATGTTAGTTTTTAAATATATATTATTAATATTTAATGTTATTACTACAATATAGTTTGTTTAAATATAGCAAAATATAGTAATAGAAGTTGTGGTCCGATAAATATGATATGAGTTTTGATTTTCATGTTAAATACTATCAGAGAATAGTGTGGAAAATAGGATAGGATTCTGCGCCCATTACAAGACAAATACGGGAGAGGATAGTGAGGATAGTTTGCCGCACAGACAGACTGTATAGACTGGTAGTGTATATGCTATATAGAAATGCTTACAATTAAACTGAATGTTCCCATAAATTCTGCGAAGAATTCTCTGGCAAACAGTTTCTCTGTTATCATTGCTTTTTGGTCTCATTTCTGCTGCAAATGTTGAACCGATTTTATGTCAAAAACTGCGTGAAAGTCAATATTACCCCAAAGAGTGCTAAAAGATTATTAAGATTTGTTTGACTGTTTGACTGCCAACAGAACAACACAGTGTTATGTGTTTAACTAAAGCATGTCTAACAAGACTTAAAAATTCAATTTAAATTACATATAATGTATACAATAGATTAAGAGTCATATTGTGTATCATTCAATTCACAAGTCATTCACAACTGGAACGGCATTGTGTTTGTAGTGAACTGTAGTACACAATTGAGGACATATAGCTTTCTACAGAATTGTCGCTATTATTATACAGTGGAGTAGTCCGGGCTTCATATCAACGGCGCTCTCCCTATCCTTCTATCCCTCTATACTCTGTATAATCATATAATACAACAAATGCCTGTTTGGCACGAATGCTAATGTCTTTTATTAAACGAGCGAATAATATATTTTCATTTATTTTAATAAAAAACTTAATCAATAATTAAATCAATTTAAATGAAAGTTTTAAAATGTCTACAAAAACTTCCTAAATTAGCTTTTGTTTATAAACAATACTATGAATAACATTAATGAAATTATTATTTTTTTCCTAACTATTATTATATAATTTAATATATTCATTACAAATATGCATTATTACATGAAATTAAAGTTTGTTTCAAGAATTATTTTAATAGTAAAAGATAAGTACAATAAGTTAATGAATAAATTATTGATCAAACTTTTGAAACAAATCATTACGTTTTCATTGTATCAAATAATTTGAAACTATTTAAAGATTCAATTTATCGACTCATTAATGAATAGTGAATTGAATACGAAAATCAATATAAACTCAATTTTCTTTGATTTATGATTTTCTATTTAAATCTTCTCAAAGAAATCTAATTAAATGTTTGACTTTTAGTTAAACTTAAATAAATAAATAGAAATTCATTTGAAATTCATTTGTTTTATTCAAAGAAATGATTTTTAATAAATAATTTACAACATATTTAAATATTTGTTCAGTTATTTCAGTGATGTAATTATCGGAAGAAATTGATATATTTTTTAATAAGCAACCAATTAATCATAATTGTAGTTAATTTCACACTTTTAAACATTATATGATATAAATTGCATATATTTTCATACAGTTGTTATATTATCGACAATTCTATTGTGAAATGTAATTAGAAATAAGTATAATATATAATTATAATTATACTCTAATAATATATACATGAGTTATCAATACTTCCTAATCACTATTCAGAGCAATAACTCTTGGTTTATATTATTTTACAATCAATTATAATAATGCAAAGACAGACAATGCAAATGTCAGTTCAATTTTGGTTGAACTCACACATGAGTATCAGTTGTAATGCATTTCCAATGGAATGATACCAATGATGACAATGCAGGAGATGATAGAGATTCGATGTCTTCAGCGTTGGATTAAGTGATTAAGTGGTGGCAAACCATCACATCTTTGTTTCGTAAGAGATACAAAGTACGCAAATCAGTGCCTCTTGTGTCGTATACCCCTCCCAGTTATATCGCAAACAAAATAATCATGTACATTTGAACATTTTGCAAACTCTCACTTCTCTACTGTACACATAAGTTATAGACAAGGAATCGCTTGTTTCGTGAGAATATATAATATTATAGATTATATTTGAATACCCTTTTGATTAAAGCCATTCCCTGTCTATAGTGTCGCACACATACGGCTATTGCTAACCCTTTACGTAAAGAGCGGCAAATGATCACTGAATTGCAATCGCAATGCAATCATAATGAAGATGAAGACAATATTGGTTGACCGGTATGTAGAGCACAGGGATGTGGTATCGTTGGTATCGCTAGCGTTGAGTTCATTGAATGGCTGGTCGTTCTGTATTCTACTCGATAAACGTTTTTCTCCTACAATAACCGTATAAACAATAAACTTGATTAATATGATTGCACACAAAGATTTCGGTTCACTTATTTGAAAAACATTTGTTAAACTAAATTATCTGCACTTAAATTGTTTGTGTGTTTTTGTTTAAAAACAGTTTACCCTAATGTTGGAGAAAATCTTTCAATGTTTCGATAGTTTAGTGTTGAGTGGGAAAAAAGTGGAGACAAATATCTATTGATTATTAATACATATTTTTTTTCGCTATACTTGTATTATACTGTATATAAAGTTTCTATAAATGGGATAAACAGAAACCAAAACGTTTACTAAAACGGGTACTCAAATTAAGCTGAATTACTGTGAAAAGGAGTTTTGTTTAAACAAATCACTCATCATTTTGATTATGGATTACGAGTTTATATTTATTTTATTGAAAGACAAACATTTTCATGTCATATAAGCCACAAATACGACAACAACTCATAACATGAGTGTAAGCGAAGGGATTAACTCTATTATAACTTTCATATGTAATGCGATTATAGTTTTTGCAAAGCATTCAGTTTATGAAAACTTGATATTAAGATATATATGTTTGAGACGAAAACAATCTATAATCTAATGGATGCATGCGTTGTAATGGGGGGAACGGTATTAAGATCATGATTACCCTGTAATACGTGCACATATAGGGAAGTCGGCTGAGCATTACTGGCAGCACACGTATAGTTGCCGCTGTCGTGCAGTTTGGCTGAACGGATAACCAGTCGTGAAATGACGGCATCACTTTTGGACGAGTCTTTCTGCACCGATATCTCTCCCCTTCCAATGGAATTGTAGTCATAATTAATCATACGGTGGTTGTGGTACCAAAACACAAATGCTGGCGATTCGGGTGAACGTGATATCACACACGTTAGGTTTATTACAGCACCCGCGCGTACAAACATGTCCGGCTGACCCACCATCTCAGCCACAGGAACTACAATACATTTGCACATCAGTACAGACAATGTCAGACATACACCACACATATTCTGTAGTCATGTTTTGTCGCCAATTCAACGCTATCTCACTAATTAACTCACATCTCATTCCTTATTATTTAACACTATTACTAAAAGTAAGGGATTGAATGAAAAGCAAAAAATATTTGTCCAATAAATGGATTTAAATGAAATTATTGTATTCTCGAAACCATATTCTACTGTCACGTTGGAGAGTGTATTCATTAATCTTGACTATATATAGAGTACAATAAGTTATAACGTTTTCATATCACTGAGCATTGAGTGAAGATCGAGCCCCGGGTCACACTTAACGTTGCCGTTCATAATGACGACAAATGCTATTCTTTAATCAATTCAAATAACTATTATTTTCCTGTTCTTTCAATAGTGACTAATCTCTGTATCATATAAAATATCTTTTGTACAGAATATGAGAATATTTATGAAATAATATGAATAATAGACATACCGACGACTTGTAAGTAGTAATACCTGTAAAGAATACCACATAATTAATTATATTATGTATGATAATAATTATATTCTAAATTTCTTTTTTATTATTTGCTTTTTTGTTTAAAGGGTATATTATAATGTTAGTATAAATCAAATAGAAAGCATATACGGTATAAAAAGACAAAAGTGCTGTTCAAACAAAAATACAACTGAAACCTAATACCAAATATCTCAGAACATGAGGTGAAGATAATAGAGTGCATAATATTGTTACATATATTTATGAATGTAATACTTACTGACTTCGAGGGGGATCGGAGTTGATTTGGCACTCATATAGACCTGCAAATCAAATTAAATGCATACAAGTGAGAATTGCATTAAAATAGAGTTCAATATTTATGAGGTAAATGAGAAACAAAACAAAAACAGCATAAGTAGGAGTAAAGCAATAAATATGAGCCTCGGTGACATATAATAAGGCAAATGTTATGATTTATTGATGGAGTGGTGATGTGGAGTGAGAGCCACAGGGAGAGAGGGATAGAGAGAGAGAGAGAGGGAGAGAGAGAGAGAGAGAGAGAATGAGAGATAGAGAGCAAGTGATACCTTCATCATCGGGAACGACATGTTTGATTTGTAGGGCCCAGTCGTTGGACTGGAGAGTTCCGTGTCGTATAACAAACCGGTCATCCGATATATAAGTTAGTAAACCTACTGTTTAGAGCAAGTGATACCTTCATCATCGGGAACGACATGTTTGATTTGTAGGGCCCAGTCGTTGGACTGGAGAGTTCCGTGTCGTATAACAAACCGGTCATCCGATATATAAGTTAGTAAACCTACTGTTAGTAAATGGAAATCACGTAAACGAATCCATGAAACCTAAATTAATTGCATTAAACAGTATTTATCATTGAAAACAGATATTAATGACTTGGATGTGATTGCAATACAATTCCTACCATTTTATCGCCAATAGGCTCTACTATGCAATGGAGATACACGGGATGACCGATCTGTGCGGTGACATTCTTAGGGACAGCCTTTTCTTCAATCATTCTTAATTGGTTTAAACTATTTAAGGGGGAATGGGATGATTGCACGGGTGGTAATGATTTTTGACGAGTTTTGTCATTCTGTACAACAGAATCGCTTAGTGAAGAGACTCCATTTGGTTGTTGACCTGAATTTAAATAATGTATTAGAAATATGCAAATAATTTTCCATTTGACACATACATGATATCTGTTTGCTTGAAATCAATTTATATGTCACTCTTATCTGTCATTTATGTTCACTTTATGCTCAAAAAATACACCAAATGTACGATACATTTAGGGAGAGCTCAACCGTTTTGCTCTTTTATATGTTTGCAAACTATTGATTCATAGAAACAGAGAGTGTTTGCTAGAAATGAATGCTCGAGTCCTGGCATTTGTGCGCCCATACAGCACATCCAGCCATACATCCCTCCACACAGCCATCCACACAGTTATCCAGCCGTACATTCCCTCTAATGCTATCACAATATAAGCTAATAAGCCATCCTTTAGTTAAGTTTGCAAACACATCGATCCAGACTAACCCCGACATAGTATGTGATCATATTATATGTGATACCAAATCAAATGTCTCAAATCATTTTATGCTAATCCTCGACACAATTAAGTCTTACTATTTGTTATATCCATAACTTATTCTAACTATACTTTCTTTCATTAATTTTATTATTTATAGTCAAAGTGAGCGATAGGTTTAGAAAATATGTTTATTATAACAAACATTTGTTATAAGCTATACAGTAGTGACTACTAGTCTCTATCAGTCCTTTCAGTCCTCATCCCTCATCTATACACTGTATGTATGCACTGTAAGACTTATATACAATAAACAAACTCCTATGAAGTATAGCCAATAACACAACCTATGGATCACTGCACAACTCAGTGGTAGTGCAGCAAAAATACTTTTACCAAATAATGTAATACATAAATGTATAACTATATCGTGTATACATTGTATAATTCAGTATGTTTTATTCGACTATTATGGTATGAATTTTTCAATGTCCATTTTTACACTATTATAGTGTTATATATTATTTGTCTTCGTGAAAAATTATATATATTTTTAATTTTAACTGTTTGATGTGCTGAGTAAACAAAAAATAGATATTTTTGATTAATGGGTTTTCACGAAATTATGTCTAAAAGTATACTCCTATTTGTTTAATATTTTCACCAAAGAGTGTCAATGTAACCAATATGAGATATTTAGCTATAAAGAATATAAAGTTTATCGTAAATGATTTTAAATACTCATTTAATTAAAGTATTGTTTCCATTGTATTTAATGCAAATTACAAAACTTAACCATTATTCTGAATTGTTGTATAATAATTAAAACAAATCTATTACATTATTTTGGATACAATAATTGATCATGTTAAGACTAATTGATAAATTCTAGTGTATAAAAGTAATAAACTAAATTGGCTAGCAAACTAATTAACAATTCTTATTTTAAACAAATGAAATGTAAATTAGTTTGTATAATTTACATACGAAATTTGATCGAAATTATATATACAGTAACAATAGTCATATCTCATATTATTTATCAAAAGTCTTAAATGTGTCGAAACCAGTGATAGACTGTAGAAGTAATTGCATTCATATAAACTTTATATCCTTTACTTTCATTTTGTAAAGATTTAACAAATCTTTTTGTGAGATTCGTTCGTTTCGTTTATTTTTAAAAACTCTTTTTATTTTATTATCAGAGATAAGACTAAAGAGTGAATTGACGTAAACTGAACTGAAATTTCAAATGAATACTATTTTTTGTGTTTTTAACGATTTTGTAGTTTGAGTTCAATTCAAGTTTGAATAATAATTCATAATTAAAGTTGTCATAAATTGAAGTTATTTTCAAACAAACAAACATTGCAAACATACGGCAACTCTTATAAACATCAAGTATAAGGTTAGGCAAGTCATGTACTGGTATGTATATAAATAAAACGAGTAATTGTCTGATTATCATAGTTATCTTAGAAGTGAAACTTTATATTTGAGTAGACTTTACTGTAATTTTATAGTAAATATAATACAAAGCTATTGTAAATTGGAGAGAGAATATATTATTCACTGTTTATTAAGGAAATAATACCCATAACTAATCTAAATTCAAAATGTTTCGCCTTAAGAATCTGTGAGTTTAGACGTTTGTTTTAAATAAACATTATTTTATAATTTAATGTCATTAACGTTTATTTCAATTGAATTCATAGTAAAAGTAGTGTTAGGTTTGAGTTAATGTCTTAATATAAAAATTAAGATTTTTATTACGCTTTAAAGCAAAACTCAAAGTAGTCTAAAAATCAACAAAAATATGCTGTATTAAATGTACATACCCTGTACTTTTTTTCAACCTTTAAAATATTTAATAAAATCATGACATGGTTAAAATAGTTATTTAATAACTGTTATTGATACAATACATTCATACTTTGGTCAAATAACTATTTTATTTACTGTTAAATATTTATAAGAATGATAAACTTTCAAAATAGCATCATTTATAAAACTGAAAATGGTGAGTACTAACTTATAGTAAATGTAATCTAAAATAATCTAAAATTTTCATTTATCTTTAAAAAGCATCTAGAGCTTTTAATACAACATTTTTCGAAATTTCGAAATATTATCAAATAAGCAATGTTTTGATGCAATGCAATCAGAATGAAAAAATATATGAAACTTTTTAATAATGAAATAAAACTTGATATATATTTATAATTAAAGATTATAAAAAAGATATTTTTGAAAGAGTTTTATTTTTCTATCAAAATATAAACAGAAATAAGAGATTATTTTGACAAATGGTTGGACTATTTATTTCGAAAATGATAAGATATTTAATCTGATGAGAAGTGCACTTCTGTACCAATTCTGGAAATTGTATTAATAATAGGAATAAACTTAATATTTAGTTAAGAAACGGAATCTTAAGAATGGATTGCAATTCCTATTGAGCGCTAAACAGATGAGAATTTTTGTCTAATGAATAATCAGCTCTTATTTCCAATCCATTAATAATAGGAATAAACTTAATATTTAGTTAAGAAACGGAATCTTAAGAATGGATTGCAATTCCTATTGAGCGCTAAACAGATGAGAATTTTTGTCTAATGAATAATCAGCTCTTATTTCCAATCCAGTCATTCAATCACTTAAATATAATACCTTTGATTAAATTGTTAATTCTTTGTTATAATACCAGCTCTTCATTGAATTAATTGCTGATTAAGAATGTCTCCAAATAATAAAAACAATTTAATTAATTTATAAATAAATTTATTAATTGTTTTTATTAAATAATTCTCATATTATAATTAGCTTATTAAAAATTACTTTCAAGCTTAGAGAACATTTTTATTATATTAATATAAAAATATTTATTATTAAATATTGCATTCATTTATTATAGAAATCATCTAAAAATATAACTGATAGTTTAATAAAAGATTTCTATAAGTAATTAAAAAATAGTTATACTGTATTATATGTAGTGTTTTTAATAAACAAAAGGTGTATGTTTTTAATTACTATATGTGTAATTTAAATTAAACATTTGAAGTTTAGATTAAAACACGTATTCATAATAAACATTTGAGTTAATGTTTTCCATATCTTACTGAAAGATTTCAATTATAGGACAAAAGGTCTTTTAGTTGTTTTTATAAAAGACTATATCATATATTTATATAAAATATAAGTAATTTGCATATTTAAAATAAATTAATGATTTGTAAAAGATATTAATAAATGTGTAAAAAGTTATTTTCAGACATTCATTATACGAGAAAAATTAGTAAAATTTCATTTATAGTTGTAATTAGCATTTCATTTTCACAAAGCATTATTAAAATTTGCTAATTTATATAAAAAATTGATTAATTTATTAATAACAAAAATAATGACAATAAATAAATTTGGTGTTAATGTGAAACACAAATGGCAATTAAGGGAATGTGATATGAATGAGAGACCATTTATATCCACTTTATTATAGATAAGAGTAACACTTCTGATTAATTTTGAACATTTGATAATCTCATGAATATTCAAATAAGTTCTCAAAATAGGGACCAATATATGATTGATGTGCTCTTAGACTATAAATATAAACAAAATTTATTCCTTAAAGTCACGGCTTTTTCGCTAACGATATGATAAAACAAGCAATAATTTGAATTTAACAAAATTATTAGTTTTCACGTCAGGCTTATTTTTACTGATCATTTGCAAACCAATTTGTTAATATTATCAAATTTTGTGTTAATTTGCTAACTTATTGTATGCTATACTCATACAAAAGAATCTCAAATATAATGAGTTTAATATGTTTAATATAAATTAAATTAAAATGTTTGATAACATTCTTAATTGTTTTAAACATAAACCCACAGATTATCTAAAAATAATAACATAGGATATTTGCTAGTTAATTGAATATAAAGCAAAAATAAACAGTTAATTACCTGCAATATAGAAGTCAATCCGGAATATTGACATATAAAGTGATTAATCGATTAGTTTTATGTCAATATTCGGCGATTAAATGTTTTCTCAGAGAAATTTAAATATTTGCTAAATTCTACTCTCGATTGAAAAATCGATCAAATTTTTGTATATTTATTGAATAACTAGTACTGTATATAAGAGTGGCGGAGTAATGGAGCACAAAAGCCTTTACCCTTTCTATAGTATAGCTCATAAATTTTAATAAATTCATTTGATTATATAAAATGCATTAAAATAAAGTTATTCTACTGTAGAGTACTCTACAAACTCGTTGAGGAGAGCATACATTATTGATAGAGGAGTACTCTCTCTCTCTCTCTCTCTCTCTCTCTCTCTCTCTCTCTCCAGTGTTTCACTCGTGAGCACCGGTTATATCGATGAAAGTGTTCCGAAGAATTCACAAAAATAGCAAAATAAATGACAAATTGCTTAAAAACTCACAATATTCTGAGCACGTGTTGGCCCATCCAATTTAATTTACAAAATTATTGATAAAACTTATTATTTTAGTCATTTACTGGAAGCTCCAATATATCTCATCAAAGTCACTGAATTTTATGTTCAAAACGTTTTGTAATCATTTTCTTTCGCTTAGAATTCTGTTATATTTATTCACACTTTTTTGCAACTTTAATTTGGCGAGTGTTTTTGATTAATACAGTATATAGTATATTGTTTTCAGACAAATGATTAGTGCTGTAATATGTGTCACAATAATTGTATTACTAAATGTGATACAAATAATTGCAAAGTAATATTAAGCATAGAAAACTACAATTGTGTTCAAACCATTAGCATTCAGTGCTATTTAATGAACTCGTTATTTAAGATTTAAGAATATATTAAGAAAATGAGTTTAAAAGATTAGAGTTTTGTTTATTTTAGCCATTTCACTTAATTTAAGTCATAATTTTATTTCA